CGGTACTCCACTGGAATGGCAGCTTTGATTGTGTGCTCAAATCACTGAAGTGTGGCTTGAGCCTTTACCTTGCAAGTTATGAGCTGAAAGCACTGCCTGATAAAATACAGAATGAATAGGAACCTTCAGAAGGGAATTGGATGTATCCTTAAAAAAGGAGACATTTGCTGGGCTAAAGGTAAACAGCAGAGGATTGGGACTACTTGGATAGATCTTTTGGCATGGCTATGATGGGCTGAATGGTTGTTGCAGTGCTGTTTGATCCTGTGGATCTGACGCGTGGTTTTAAGAATATACTTACCAGCCATCTATCTTTAACAATTCAAACAGGAACGTCTTGTTTTATCATTTGAAAATATAAATTCAAAACCTGACAAAATAGCTTGAAATGAAATGTACAGATCTGAATATATTTGAAATTATAAGTTCCCCACCAACCCCTTAGGCGAGACTGATGCCATTGGAAGTGTCATGCAGACAAAAAATTATAATGGCAAACATAACATTTCATCAGGGAATGTGGTCTCCAATTTGAGAGCAAGAGCATTTTTTGTCCCTGTAACACTTCCAATGTCATCAATCTCGCCTGGGAGTAGTTGGGTTAAAATTTCAGATGTATTCAAATCTGTAAACCTCGTTTCAAGCTATATTTGTCAGGTTTTGAATTTACATTTTCAAATTAGTAACAACACCAGGGTGAAGAGTTTGCTGAGGATGTTGATGAAGAAATGCATCAGTATTCATAAGATACAGACCTTATCACCAAAAAGATTATTGCTGAGGACCTTCTTCAGCTGGAAAGGATTTTTTTACATTTCCCCATCAGCTCTGTGCTCAGTGACCTACGTTACCTCACAGACTGACAACTCCAGCAATTTAAAATTCTCATCCTGGTTTTCAATCCCACTGATGACTTCACCCTTCTTTATCTCAATAACCTCTACTAGACCTACAGCACTCTGAGATCCCCACACTTCTCTAATGATGAGCTCTTGCTTCATCTCTCATTTTCATCACGGACTCCACCACTGACAGCTAAAACTAAAATTCTCCCCGCAACAAGCTACACAAACTTTTCCTCTTCTCTTAACCTGATCTTTCTTTGTGGCTTGATGCCAAATTTTATCTGAGAGCGTCCTTGTTGAAGTGCCTGATAAACACCATATAAATAGGGCTGTACGGTGACTCAGTGGTTAGCACTGCTGCCTCAATGCCAGGGACCTGGGTTCAATTCCATCCTCGGTATGGAGTTTGCACATTCTCCCCAAGTCTGTATGCGTTTTCTTCGGGTGCTCCAGTTTCCTCCCACAGTCCAAAGATGTGTAAGTTAGGTGGATTGGCCATGCTAACTTGGCCATTGTGCCTAGCAATGTGCAGGCAAGGTGTTTAGCCATGGGAAATGCATGGTTACAGGGACAGGGTAGTGCGGGTGGGTCTGTGTGCAGTGCTGTTCGGAGCGTTGGTGTGGACTCGATGGGCCAAATAGCCTGCTTCAACACTGGAGGGATTCTATGATTCTATGAAATGGAAGTCATTATTGTAATTTGTTCGTAAAGTACCTGGAGCCACAAACACGAATGTTTAAATTTGTAGAGTAAAAAGTATAGAGCTAATAAAGGTACCAGACTGCAACATTAAACAGAATAAGCTATGTAAATGCTGCTGTGTATGTGGAAGACATTGCAAATACAAATGATAAACTGAATGAATCCTATTTTAACATAGTAGGACCAGGTAATGCTTTAGATTTATTGACTAGGTCAGAAATTCTAATGCAAAACAATTGCAGATGACTTTTGTAGTCTTGTTGCTGTACTTAATTTCCAGCCAATAATGTTTTACTCAATTAAGTGGCTTGCAGGGTGGAAATGGAATAATATCAGACTTTAACAGTTCACGTCTCATGTTCACTACACTCTTATTTACAAAGACTCTAAACATCAAAGAACAATGCAGGAGAGGAGCAGGCCCTTGGCCCTCCCAGCCTGCATTGACACATTTTGCCCTTCCCCACTAAAACTGTCTTTGCTTACAAGTTCCCTATCTCTCTGTTCCCTTCCTATTCATGTATTCATCCAGGTGCTTATTGAATGCTGCTATTCTGTCTGCTTCCACCACCTCCCCTGGCAGCGCGTTCCTGGCACTCACCACCTTTTGTGTGAAAAACATGCCTGGCACATCTCTTTTTGAACTTTTCCCCTCGCACCTTGAACCTCTGTCCCCTAGTAATAGACCCCTCCCCGCTGGGAAAAAGCCTCATACTTTTCACTCTATCCATGCCATTCACAATCTTATAAACTTGTATCAGGTCGTCCCTCAATTTCCTGCGTTCCGGTGAAAACAAACCCAGCTTATTCAACCTTTCTTCATAGCTAAAGTCCTTCATACCAGGCAACATCCTGGTAAACCTTTTATGTGCCGTCTCCAAAGCATCCACATCCTTCTGATTGTGTGGTGACCGGAACTGTACCCAATATTCCAAGAGTGGCCTAACTGAAGCTGCAGTATAACTTTTCTATCCTTATACTCTCCCTCTCTGTACCTATCTCTCAATTTCTCTCTCTAAATTCCTGTCTCTCACACCCTGCCTCCATCACCCTCTGTCAAGACAAGCATGCCATAGGCCTTTTGCACTACCTTGTCTACCTGTGCTTCCATCTTCAGTGATCTGTGGACCTGCAACCCCAGATCTCTCTGCATAACAATACTCCTAAGGGTTCTGCCATTCACTGTTTAATTTCCACCTGTACTTGACTTTCCAAAATGCATCACCTCACATTTGTCCAGATTAAATGCCATCTGCTATTTTTCTGCCCATGCCTCCAACTGATCTATATCGTGCTGTAACCTCTGACAATCCTCCTCACTATCCACAACCCCACCAATCTCAGTATCATCGGCAAGCTTACTAATTAGACCAGCTACGTTTCCTCCAAATCGTTTATGTAGATCACAAACAGCAGATCCCTGTGGAACACCACTAGTCATAGTCCTCCATTCCGAAAAACATCATTCCACCGCTACCATCAGTCACCTATGACTAACCTATGAGTAACAAGAACTGAAGTTATTCTAAGCCTTATTAGAGAATCTATTTTCAGGGGGAAAAAATATTCATTTCAACATGCGTATTTGGGAGCCAGTGGTATTGTGGTGATATTGCTGGATTAGCAATCCAGAACCAGACTCAATTCCTGCCATGGCAATGGTAAACTTTAAATTCACATGAATAAGAGCGTCTGGGATTAAAAGCCAGTTCACCTGCACATCTGCCAATGTGGTATACTGCATCTCGCTGTACCCGGTGTGGCTTCCTCCTACATCGGGGAAACCAAGCGGAGACTCGGGGACCGCTTTGCAGAACACCTACGCTCGGTTCGCAACAAACAACTGCACCTCCCAGTCGCGAACCATTTCAACTCCCCCTCCCATTCCTCAGACGACATGTCCATCCTGGGCCTCCTGCAGTGCCACAACGATGCCACCCGAAGGTTGCAGGAACAGCAACTCATATTCCGCTTGGGAACCCTGCAGCCCAATGGCATCAATGTGGATTTCACAAGTTTCAAAATCTCCCCTCCCCCCACCGCATCCCAAAACCAGTCCAGCTCGTCCCTGCCTCCCTAACCTGTTCTTCCTCCCACCTATCCCCTCCTCCCACCTCAAGCCGCACCTCCATCTCCTACCGACCAACCTCATCCCGCCCCCTTGACCTGTCCGTCCTCCCTGGACTGACCTATCCCCTTCCTAACTCCCTACCTACACTCACCTTTCCTGGCTCCATCCCCGCCTCTTCGACCTGTTTGTTTCCTCTCCACCTATCCTCTCCTCTATCCCTCTTCTATCCGCCTCCCACTCTCTCCCTATTTATTTCAAAACCCCCTTCCCCTCCCCCTTTTCTGATGAAGGGTCTAGGCCCGAAACGTCAGCCTCTCTGCTCCTATGATGCTGCTTGGCCTGCTGTGTTCATCCAGCCCTGCACCTTGTTGTCTCAGTGAAGGACACTGTTGATTGTGGTAAAAATGCATCTGGTTCACTAATGCCTTTTAAGGAAGAAAAACTGCCTCACAACTTGGTCTGGCCTACGTGTGATCCAGACCCATAACAATGTAGCTGACTCTTGACTGCCCTCAGAATTGGCCTGGCGAGCCACCCAGTTCAAGACTAGTTCGGGATGGGCAATAAATACTACGTGAATGAATGATGGGAAAATAATCATTCTTGCCCATTACATTTTAGGTTAGATGTCTTTGTAATTGTTGATGCTTTGACTGTAAATATCGCAAGTGGGTTCTAAGAGCCTTAGACTGATGAAAACTGGACACACACACCAGTACAAACTGATGAACATTTACACTGTGGTCTTTACACTGTTACACTCTGTGTATAGAGGCATGATAAAGCAGGATGTCATTGGAACCTTCTTCACTGGGCTCTTCATTCTGAGTGATATTTATCTTTAGCCAATTTGTTCAGAGATGTTATTAAACGCTGCTGGGACAGGTGGTATTGAACTTATGTCTCCAGACTCATCGGTAAGGACACTACCACTGCACCACAAAGCACCTTCATTCTTAGTGATCTGAGATCCCCAAGATGCTGCCCAGCTGTTAGCATGTAGCTTTGAATCCCACATACTATGGTCACCACGTTGGTGTTTTGCCTGAGGAAATGTAGGAATGAGCCTGTTTAACACTGAGTGGAACTGGGAATGTAAGGCCAAAACAAGAGACTGTAGCATCCTCTGGGCTGTCCTCCCAAGTTGAGAAATGAACACTGTTGGGCGGTGTTTCAAGGTCAAGGGTCATGAGATGTTAAAACATTGTTTTCATCTATTGATCAAGGTTCCCGTTAACATGAGGGAAAGGTGTAGTTTCCACAAGTTGATAAATCAGTGTACTGTGGCCTGGCTCTCAGCTCAGCTTATGCAGCAGCAGGTCGGTGTATTATTTCTGATTTTCTCTGTCACACCTGATGAAAGTTTTAATTCTGGTTTCTAGAATATATTGTTTGCACCCAAAGTATTGGAGTACCTGACTTGTAACGATGAACAGGATGATCTGCAGAAGATCCTCACAATCCCTGCCTCTCAGAAGGTTCGGCTCAGCAGTTACCGGGCAGCTGTGTGTAACACCACCGCCAAGTTACAGAAGGAGCATTTCCGGGAACTCGCCAATAAACTTCAAAGCCAAGTGGACATCCAGAAAATTGTGGAGAAGGTGAGTCAAATTTAGATCTTATCTTCAGGAAACAAAATCTTTGACTCATTCACTTTTAATTTTACTACTTGTTCTATGTCTTTCATTTCTCCATGTAGGAGATCTGGGTGTCTTCACTCCTGCCTAATTTTTTCCCATCATTGTTACCATGTTAGCTGTTCTCATCTTAAATGAGTCTCTCTTTGTGCAATGTCTAAACTAGACAAAGTTGCACAACAGAAAACGTGCATTTGATTGTCTATCAAGGTATCTAGCTATGCATTAAAGGATCATGGAGCTCTGGTCTAGTCTTGTCATGAGGTTACTGAGAACCACAATGTTCCTAATTCCCTTTCTATATAACTTAGCGAACTATAGCATATGAGAGAGGTGAAGTAATGTTCCAAAGACGCAAGACCAGTGGAAAGGCTTGTTCACCAATTCTTGAGAAATATTTGTTTCTGGTTAGGCTTCCCCTGTAGTATTCTGTTGAATTCTGGTCACATTAGAGAAAATATTATGGCTTTGGAAAGGGTTTAGAGTCATAGGGTCTGTTTCTGGTCCAACCAATGCCGACCATAATCCCAAACTAACTTAGTCCCACCTGCCTGCTCCTGGCCTATATCCAAACATTTCTTATTCATGTACTTACCTAAATGTCTTTTAAACATTGTAACTGTACCACATCCACCACTTCCTCTGGATGCTCCTTCCATACTCGAACCACCCTTTGTGTAAAGAAGCAGTCCCTTATTTCTTTTAAATCTTTCTCCTCTCACCTTAAAAATATAGTCCCTAGTCTGAAATCCCCCAAACCAGGGAAAGTACACCTGCTATTCACCTTATTTACTCCCCCCATGATTTTATAAACCTATATAAGGTCACCCCTCAATCTCCCGTGCTCTAGTGAAAAATGTCCCAAACTATCCAGGCTGTCCATAACTGAAACCCTCCATTCACGGCTACATCCCTGATAAATCTCTTGTGAACCCTCTCCAGCTTAATAATATCCATCCTGTAACAGGGCGACCAGAACTGGACACAGTACTCCAGAAGAGATCTCACCAATGTCCGGTACAACCTCAACATAACTTCTCAATTCCTATAGTCAAAGGTCTGAGCAATGAAGGCAAGTGTGCTAAGTGCCTTCTTCTTAATCACCCTGTCTGTATGTGATGCAAACTTCAAAGAATTATGTACCTGAACCCCTAGGTATCTCTGTTCCACAACACTACCCAAGGCCCTATTTTATTTATATAATTCGTGCACTTGTTTATTTTACCAAAATGCAGTACCTCTCATTTATCCAAATTAAACTCCATCTGCCACTCTTTAGTGCATTGACCCAATTGTTCAAGATCACTTCGTAATTTTGGTAACCTTCACTGCCCACTATAGCACCAATCTCAGTGTCATCAAAAATGGACCCATTACCAATTCCTGTGGAACACTGCTGGTCATAGGCCTCCAGTCTGAAAAACAACCTTCCACCATCACTCTCTATCTCCTGCCATAAAGCCAATTTTGTGTCCAATTGGCAAGTTCACCCTGAATCCCATGTGATCTAACTTTACTAATTTGTTTACCATGTGGAGGTTTACCAGAACGGTGTCAGAAATGAGGGACTTCAGTAATGTTCTGGGCCTGGACAAACATGCACCATACGTAGAGCAGAGAATATGCAAGTGAGATTTAATGCAGCCATTGAAACACTTGAAGGATTTTGATGGAGTAGCTGGAGAGAAAATGTTTTGAGGGTAGAGGTGACAGTTATCAGAGGACACAGGTTAGAGTTTATTGTCAACTGAACCAGAGGAATGATTAGAAATTTGATGCAGCGAGTTGTTAGGATAAGGCATGTATTAATGGAAATGGTTGGGGCAGCTTTCATAAATAAATTGAATTTGCACTTGTACTGTAAAAATTGTCAGACAATCGGGTAAAATATGGAGAAAGGAGCTTCTTAGATTCCTCTTTCAAAGAGCCAGCACAGAGATAATGTGCTGAATGGCCTCCTCTGTGTGGTATGATGTATGCAGAGGGATATAAGACCGACCTCAGAGTTACAATTTCCCACACATGGCACGTTTCAACTGTTGTGTTACAGAACGTGGTGAGCTGAGGGAAGGCTATTCTCTGAAGATGAGAAGGAAACTGGTGTAGAGGATCTTAGCAGAATGCCCTCTAGCACTATTAATGACTCTTCTGGTGTGAAGAACTACAGGTTGTGTTTTCTTTCCAAAAAGTGGCCTCATGTTGAATTATTTGCTTTGATAGATGAAGTTTAATAACAGTTGAGATTTGATAGAACAAGTGGCTGATACAAATAACATGTTGATGAGAAGGAAGTTGTGACATTTGATGTCTTGTATCTTTGTTGGCTGTAAACCATTTTGGAATGTTCTGAGGTCATGTAAGGTGCTATATAAATGCACATATTTCTTTTGGCTCATGAATTGTTGATTTTTGTAAAGGGGAAACTTCTACTGTTTTGAGATTTTATTCTCTCTCATTTACCTTTACTCCTGATGTCCTGAGTCCAGAGAGCAGGTGCAGAGGTGAGCTTGAAGCATTGCATGGGGCACTGCTGAGCTTGAGAATCATCGGGTGGAATTAAACAGACTCCAAAAGATGGCTTGGGAGGCAGGAGAGTGTGTTATCAGGCAGGACGGTGGGGAGGACACCACCTTGTAGCCTCTGACCGGGGGGAGGCCTTTGTATATGTGAATATTTTAATCAACCTGTTCAGATTTACTTTTAGCTCATTTAAGGGATTTGGATGCTGCCAGCTAAGCCAACATTTATTGCCCATCCCTAATTGCCAAGTCGGCGTTTAAGAGTTGACCACATTGCTGTGGGTCTGGAGTCACTTGTAGACCAGACCAAGTAAGGGTGGCAGTTCCTTCCCTAAAGACATTAGGGAACCAGATGAGGTTTATTTGGTAATTAACAATGGTTGGATGGTCATCATTGCACTTTTAATTCCAGATCATTACCATTTTTAATCTGCCTTGGCAGGATTTGAACCTGGGTCCTCAGAACATTACTTGGGTCTCTAGATTAATTGATAATGTCACTCGGCCATTTCTCTCCCTCTAAGCAGGAGGAACTCAAATCCAGGCCTTCTGCTTAGAGGGGTGTCCTAGTGGTATGATCCCTAGACTATTAATATAGAGATGTACAAGTCTTCCGAGCTATTTTCTCATCAACCTGTTCAGAGATATTACTACATAGCTCTGGAGCAAGTGGGATTTGAACCAAGGTTTCTTGGCTTGGAGGGAGGGGCATTGCCACTGTGCCACAAAAACCCATCAGGAACTTAATCAGGCAAAGTCAAAGGAAGTGGGGGAGGGTTTTTGCTGGCTCAGTAGCCAGTGGGAGAGACCTCCATCATCTCGATGAAATACTGTCCATAGAGCAGAACAACGCAAGAAGGTCCCTCGGCCCATTCAGTCCAAGACAGCTCCTGTGAAAGGAGATGTAGTTCCTCCCATCTCTCTACTTTAACCCCACACCCCTGCAATTTTTTCTTCTTGCATCGATTTATTCAATATCCTGTTGAAGGCTTGTACAGTAGTGAATCAGTTATCACCATCCTATCACATAATACATTCAAATCCTAGCAAGTCATAGAGAAAGTACGTTTCCCCAGCCACCTCTGGTTCTGTTGCCAATCACTATTAATTGTGCATGCTTGTTTTTGTTTCTAATGCTAACTGAATTCGTTTCCCTATATTTCCTATGCTGAAACTTCTTATGATTTCAAAAATCTCTACCAAGTTTCCTCCGAGTATTCCCTCCCCGAGGGAGGACAACCCACATTAAGAAATCATTCTTTACTACATGTTAGATTTATTTATAGAGTGAAACATTACAAATATGTTGCTCTTAACTCTATATCCCACCATTAGTGTTCCTAAGTGTCTCTTTATGTGCTTAAGTAATTATACAATGAGTTCTCCTGCCACCTGTAAGTACTTAACTTTTAATTAATACATTTAATCACCTCAGTTTGCCCAGGTAACTGTAATATCTCATCTCTGGGACCACTCTAATAAAGCTCTTCATAATAATCACTTTCATACGCAGTGGAAATAAGGATGACATTAAAGTCAATTAAACTACTTGTGTTGGCTCATTCTGCAGGAGCTGATGCAACCTTTTGAAAAGATGCTGTTTATGGTTCACATACAGACTGATGAATTTTGAAAGATTTGAATTCCCGGTGACAAACCTAAAAGATTTGTACGTGCTTTCATGCTTTAATGTTTTTAACTGCAAAAGAAAAACTGAAATCAACACGACTAATTACATTATTTTGTAGACAACTAATAATCTAAATGCAAAAAGACACATCTCATTTTAATGTCTTAACATTACCAATAGTTATACAATACACTGCACTCTTTGCAGAATTATATTTTTAAAGGAGTAAATTCAAAGTTATTCCCAGCTTCCAACAAAGTCATCTACCCTCATTTCATTGAGTCATAACATCCAAATACATTTCCAGTTTTCTGAAAATTTCCCCAGACCGACTCCCAGTGGTGAAGGGCCACTCCTCTGCTTCCTTCTCCTGGCCTTGTCAGGGTATGACCTCATGTGGCTTCAAATTTACCCAGATTCCATTGTCTTCACCAGGAGATAAGCTCTTACCAATGTTCTGCTTGATCGCTAATAAAGAATGTGTTTATTCCCTTTGCCTATCTCTCTCTCCCTTGGTGACCAGGGTGTTAATCGGACTGTCTTAAAAGTCTGTCAGTCTAACCATGGCAACTTTTCCCGTGCTTTCTGTTGTTAAACCTGAGGCATGAATTTCCACAACAGTTATCCTGTGGCCTGTATCCCGTTGGTCATGCAAGGTCACATAGGCTCATCAGCGGGCTGGACGAGGAGCAGGTTGTGTGTCCCTTTCCAGCATTGCATTTTACATCAAATTAAATAAACCCGTTAAAACATAAGCATATTATAAAACCTCACATTCATAACAATACCCTGAAGAAAGAGGCATTCCAGAAACTAAAGAGCCAGTAATATTTGGAAATAAGCATACATGTTATACTACATTTTGAAGTCTACATGATGAGTCAGACTTATATTGCTGCTTTTTCTTTCTGGGATACATTTATAAATTCTCATTTGTCAAATACAGTCCCTTGTGGTGGAACAATCTCACACTAAAGCCAAGTAGAGAGAGATTGTATGAGATGATGTGCTGCAGACTTCAACCCTGAAATTGCACATAATGCTATCCTGCTTTTGTGCCAATGAAAACTAAGCTACCACCAAGAACTTGGCATGTAGGACTTCACTAGCACAAATCTTGTCCCACCATTCCTTTTTAAGGAGGTTCTTGTATTGGTGCTCCATTGCCTGGTAACCTAAGTAGTTAGAACTCAACAAAAATACATGGCTCCCCTTTATGTTGTAAAGAAATTCATGTAGCATATTCTGTGCGTGGGAACAATGACATCTCAAGGGATTTGGAGAATGTCATAAATCGCGAGAATGAATTTGGAATGTTTGTTATCATCTGAACTTGAAAATTAGAATGACTTTCCAATGATTCATCTCTACCCTGCCTCTGACTCATAACCTTCTACCAATTTTTCTTACAATGGGGAAAACAGAGTGGAATTTGGCTTTGGACTGCTCTCTATTAACAGTCAGAACAAGGATGCTCCCTTGAGTAGTTGTAAGGATGGATCCAGTACTGAAAAAATTGGTTTGTATTACAGTTACTTCAAGCCTTCTGGACTGAATCAAATCCAGTAACTATCATTGCTCTTTATGGTACACGCTCATAAACTATACATTGGTCCAAACAAGGACAAAAGAGATTAAACCAAGAGTTGCAGTGAGAATGACTGCTGTTGACATCAAAGGCAATCCTTCACTGTTGTTGGATCAAAGCTCTGAAACTACCGGCAACACTGTGGATATGCCTACACCCCATGGACTGCAGCAGTTCAAGAAGGCAGCTCATTACCAACTCCACAAGGGCAATTAAGGATGAGCACCAAATGACCCATGTTCCATGAAAAAAATATCACATCAGAATTTGCAAGTAACAATCATACTTTCTGGGCCTTTTCATGGCACAAAAGGGAGTAAAGTGACATGTAAATAAAACCATAGTGACAAGGCAGGGAAGTACCCTGGGCCTGTCGTTTCTCAGTTGTTTTGGTTCAGTGTGTCAGACAAGTGAAGCTGTTATTGTATCTGTTAGAGTCCAAACACACTTGCTAGCTTGTTCAGGGACAGTATCACACACTTCTGGAGCAGGCAGGACATGAACCCAGACCTCCTGGCACAAAGGTGGGGACTCTACCACTGTACCACATGCTTGTAACTTATCCCAGTCATCCATTTGTCTGCACATTATAGACTGCAGCAGCATTCATAGTGTAGAATGTGTTGCCTGTGATTATCACTTAACGTTGGCCATGAGATCAGTACTATTCATAACTGCTTTCGCATTTCAATTTTATCTTGTTGAGTTCATTCAAGCAACCGTAGAATACTCCTACCCACCTGCTTGATAACATGGCTTCGTGAAATAATGGGCAAAGTGCAGCGTTATCAGTGTGTATTTTAGCACTCGTTTTCTCCACAGACTCCCTCCACCATGACAGCACTTCTTTGCTGGTCTACTTTGATTTTCCTGAGCTTTTGTAATGTTTGTAGATGTTGTGGAGGGGCCTGTGTGCAGGCTGCACACAAGATGTGGCTATGAAGGCAAAAGCCCTTGATTGCGGAATTAGGTGAGGAAGAAAAATTGTAAACAACTAAACACCAAACTGAATTAAATAATGGGTTGAAAACCATTTAATGTTAATCATGCTCTTATTGACCTTAGTCTAATTTTAAATGCAAACCTTTGATTAAAATATCTGTCTTGTTGAAGGGGACATGTTGGAAAGAATAATTGAAATCAATAGTTTTCACATAATGTACTGTTGATGAGTAATCTGGAGGAAAAGAACAGTGGCTGGATGTTCAGGTTTTACTTTCAGTTAGTTTACCTTCTGTTTGTGTACCAGGTTCAACAAACTGTTGTTCATAATTCAACCACATCCCAGGGAGTGGTTTACTTCTTGGCTTGAAGGAGTTGATTTTAAAAAAAGACTGAATATGGCTAATCATCAAATATCAAACCTGAAACATCAATTCACGTTGACCCTTAACATCACCTTGTGACTGTGTTATCTTGTGCATTGCGGGTAACTACTGCACTGATTGTAATCTTCTGCTATTACAGAGTAATTATTTTCTTTCCCATGTGCAGCTCAAGTTGAATGAGGTGAACAGCACAGCCGTTCAGCATCACCTTCAGGCCTTACTTGAAGACCTCATTGAGGTGGAAAAAATCTTAAAGGATGTAGATGCCTTATCGGGACTTGCTAGGCTGCTCCCAAAGGGGGCTTGTGCAGGCAAAAGCCCACCTACTGCTGCCAATACTACCAGCTGGAACAACAACTTCACAACCACCAATGCCACCTCGGAAGAGGACGAGGAGCCTGAGAAGGAGAATCCTCACACCCAGTTTTCTGCTTTTGTTCAGCTCTGGGCTGGCCTTCAGCCAATCCTGTGTGGGAATAACAGGTACAATTACAAGCTAGTAACATTCTGCTGTTCCATGGGGAGTCATGGATGTAAGAAAGACTTTCACAGCCAAGTGTTGACTTTATCATTCTCTAGTTCATTTGTGGACCAAATTCCATGTCCCGTTATGCCCCACTAAGCACGCATCACTACCGAATTGGCTTCAATTCATCTCAACACAAAGACATTGTTGATTAATTTGTACGTCAGCATTGACCTTAAACAACTTTTCATTTCCTTTCTTGCATTGAGAACTACACTTAAGACATTTTCTCTCCTGTGTTCTGACATTAGATAAGATCTATTATTTCCAACATTATTTTTTGTAAAGTGCTTGTTATTCTGTGAAATAATTAACACGTAATATTAGAAACCAATACTTTTTCAGCTGTGGGATGATAGAAGTTCAAGTTGCCGTTTTCCTTAATTTCCCTATTAACTCACTTGCTGTCTTGGGTTGAATCTTCCACAGTTGACGATACAGACTGGAGCCTCTTCTCTGACAGAGGTTAAAGAATGAACAGCTGCATGAACCCAGCTTGGGCTCACTTTCACACTCTCTATACGTGCCAGCTCCCCAGCAAATGGACCAGCAAATTTATTGCTTTGAAAGCAAACACACTTGGTCCCACTAGTTAGTGATATGTTTTTCTGAGACAGTTTGTGAGGGCTTGAGCTCATCATGCCACATCAATGTTCTTCCCTTGGGAAAGCCTCTCAACATGCTCTGGACCCCACCCCAGCTGACCCTCCCAGGAGGGTGCTGTTTCTTAAGGGCATGGGACAGTTTTCACTAGATATTTTAGGTGCTAGAGAGCATCCAAAATGCATCGCCACTTTAGCTTGTGTATGGTGCAAGATGTCATTTTATTGAAGGAGTTGAAATGCACACTTGCAAGTAAACAGTCAGGATGGAATTTTCCTGGGAGCCCTCGGCATTGACTCTGGGCCCTTGAAGTCTCGCTTCATCTGTTTAGACACGTGCAAGGTGACATCTTGCAGATTACCAGTCGCTCCCCGTCCCTTCCCACCACACGCACCACCACTGCCACCGCCCACCCACCCACCATCTCAGCTCCTCCATGTTGAACAACACTTAGAGTCATCCAGCACAGAAACAGACCCTTTGGTTCAACTCATCCACAGCAACCAGACATTCCAATCTGACCTAGTCCCATTTGCCAGCATTTGGCCCAAATCCCTCTAAACCCTCCCTATTCATATACCCATCCAGATGCCTTTTAAATGTTGTAATTGTACCTGCCTTTACCATTCCTCTGGCAGCTCGTTCCGTACACACACTATCCTCTCTATGAAAAAGTTAACCCTCAGGTCCTTTTTTATAAATCTTCCCCTCTCATCTCAAACCTATGCTTTTTAGTTCTGACTCCCCTGCCCGAGGAAAAATCCATGCCCCTCATGATTTTAGAAACCTCTATAAGATCACCCCTCAACTTCCAACGCTCCAGGGAAAACAATCCCAGCTTATTCAACCTCTCCGTCTAACTCAAACCCTCCAACCCCAACAACATCCTTGTAAATCTTTTCTGCATCCTTTCGAGTTTAACAACATCTTTCTTGTAGAAGGGCGACCTGGGAAAAGAACTGAACATAGAACAGTACAACACAGTACAGGCCCTTCGGCCCACGAAGTTGTGCCGACCTATTATCCTACTAAGGTCAATCTACCCTGCATACCCTACATTTTACTATCCTCCATTTGCCTATCCAAGAGTCACTTAAGAGTCTCTGAAGTATCCGAGTCCACTCCCACTGCCAGCAGCGCAT